TATGTTTGCTCGGTACCTGCTCTTCGGGCAGAGATTAGTTTAGCCATATCGTGAAAAAAAATTAAGATCGACCTTATCTGAACACCTCATAAAGTTTCCTAACCACAAAATCCATGGCAAGACCAATCCATCATAGCCTCCAAGACTTCGCATTGTTTATACCCTTATATCTATTGTCTCTCTTAATAACTTGTTATTACCCTTTTTATCTATTGTCCCTCTTAATCTCTATATTGTTTCTTGTTGGTATATATTTTGTTATGTTTTATTCTCTTGCCATTACATCTGATGAAGACACGTGTATATTGTGTTGAAACGTTATGTGCCCAACCTTATTAAAGAAGTGTGCTATATTCCATAATATTGTCTTGTGTTTTGTTATATATATGCTCCTCCCTTCTATATGTCGTTCAAATCTTATATTAATAGAATCACTGAGAATGTACATGCTGCAATTAAGGTTTTTAAAGGACTCTCTGAAACAAAATATACTATTCAGGAAGAAGTCATATTTAGTTATGATATTGTTTAAACTGATACAAAATGTGCTCTTGATGTTTTATAGACCGAGAGATGGGAGTTAACACCAGCTAAAAGTAAAGATATGTCAACACCACGTAAATCAGATCAATCTACAAGACATAATTCAGTTGGAAAAGCTAGAAATAGTTTATTTTCTGAAACAAATTGATTTTTTAATTTTTTAATAGGTTTTAAAACGATTATCTATTGCTTTAATATACCCACATATTCATAGCATATCAATCTGCTTTAATATTTTATTTGTTTTTATACGCCCACATCTTTCTATGTGGACGTATACTGTCGGCACTCCTGTTGGTCGGTCGGTCCGTCTGTCCGTCAACATTTGCTTGTAAACGCTCTAAAAACTAGATTTTTTGATGGAATCAAATGAAATTCGGTATGTGTATACATATTCATAAAATAAAGATCAAGTTCGAATTTGAGCTATTTTCGACCGTTACAAGCAGAGTTATTGCCCTTGCCCCAAACCCAAAATCTTTAATATGCTATTACTCTTTTAGTTTTCAACCGATTTTGATGAAACTTAAAATGGATGTTATTGGACCTAAATCGAAAGGTTTGAAAAAGTTTAGTTTATTTTGATTAGATTTAAGGCTTTTTCAAAATTTAGACCTCTTACGTCAGTTTTGAGGAGTTATTGCCTTTTAACTTCTAAACAGTAAGTGCTTCTATCAACATCAATTGCTTGTAAACACTCTAAAAACTAGATTGTTTGAAGGAATCAAATGAAATTCGGTATGTGCATACATATTCATGAAACGAAGGTTCAAAATCTTGAATATTTACCATGGTGGGCGTATATGGCTGTGGTCCACTATCTTTGAATTTTATTTTTGTTTTTATTTACCTATTTGAGAATTAAGATTCTGTATTTTCTTTTAGTTATCCATAATATCTACAATACTGATACTGAGATCTGTGTAGATTTCTGATTCCAGTATCATTTTAAACACATACCAATATTGATCAAGAGAGAAAGTCAAAGTAAGCATATTTGGAGGTGATCCACTATCTTATACATTGTAACAACACCATGATACAAAATCGTCTTATGTCTATTATATAATTTTAGATTAAAGAACAGATCAGGTTCAGGTGCCATCACCTGTTTAGTTTATATTATACACAGATTTATCTTTCATATGTATATTTATTTTGTGCAATGTGTGTGTAGCTAATTTCAATTACCATAGCTATAGCAATAAATAAATAACATACATTAACTGGGTGTTGATATTTTAATAAATTATTTGTTACATTGTTACCATTCAGTATTTTAAAATTGTTTATTTTAGTATATTAACAGAACTGATCTAGTTTGATCTGTTTTAAACCTATAAATAATTTACTTCATACTGGTTTTTATTATATTATTTTATGATGTTTTCTTTATGAAGATATATTTCTGTTTTTATTTGGCTGTATTTTATTATACGCCTACATGAATATGTGGTCGTATATTGTCGTCGCCCCTGTCCGAGAGACTACAGTTTTTATCTGATTTTGATAAAACTTTGTGTGATGTTTTAGATTGATAAGATCTCGGTCAAGTTCGAATTTGACATATTTTCGATGAACGGTTTTTGAGATATTGCCCTTGACTTAGAATGCCTTAAAATTTGTTAAAAATTGTTCGTGAGCAGGATTGAAGCTACAGTTTTCATCCGATTCTGATGATCATTGGAATTGATAAGATCTCGGACAAGTTCTAACTTGACGCATTTTCGATGAACGGTTTTTGAGTTATTGCCCTTGACTTTGTAAAAACGCGTCAAAATTTGTTCGTGAGCACAATAGAAGCTACAGTTTTCAACCCATTCTGATGAAACTTGGTGTGATCATTGAAATTGATAAGATCTCGGACGCATTTTCGATGAAATGTTTTTGAGTTAATGCCATTAACTTACAAAAAACGCGTCAAAATTTGTTTGTGAGCACAATAGAAGCTACAGTTTTCAACTGATTCTGATGAAACTTGGTGTGATCATTGGAATTGATAAGATCTCGGACAAGTTCTAACAAGAGATATTTTTGATGAACATTTTTTGAGTTATTGCCCTTGACTTTGTAAACACGCGTCAAAAGTTGTTTTTTGCCCTTGATTATAGCTGTGTGATTTAATTGTTTGTTGTAATTGGGTTATTGATATTGATTTTAAAAAATTTTGTGGAATTATTCAGCATAAATAATTTCTTCAATATGAGAAAATTCGTACTTTAGTCAATTAAGACTGTTTTATTATTTCTGACAGCTGCCAGTGGGCGTATGTTACCTTGCAACGCAAGCTATCTTTAATATTATAAGTAACTAATTATTTTGTTTTTCAAAGTTTTGTGATTGGGGTTTTGTCTCTGTTAATCTGGTATTTCCAATATATTTGTCTCTGTAAACACTTTTTAGTTTCCATGCTGTGGATATCTTTTTAGTATGACAGTGAATTTGGGAAGTGTGCATCAATAAGTATAATTATGGTAATTCGGCTGCTGATGGATACAATTAATCTTCACTTTTCACTAAATTCAATAGAGGCTACAGTTTATATTTGATCTTGATGAAACTTGTAGGCACGATAGAGACTACAATTTTTATCCGAACTTCATGAAACTTAGTATGCATATATATATTGATGAGATCTCGGACAAGTTCAAATGTGGTAACAATCGGATGAAGGGTTTCAGAGTTAACTCCTTTATCTTGAATGAAACTTGTATATTACCTTGCCTGGCAAGCAATCTTTTGAATTACAATTTGCGTTTCCTGTTTTCCATTTTCCTGATGTGAATTATGCTCTTTCATCAGTTTTGTTTGCAGAATTATCATTCAAGTTTTTGGAATTTTCATTTATGTTTCTAGATAACTGGATAAGGAGTAAAAACAATGGAATAATCATTAGAAATACATCATGATCAAACCAATAAAAGTAAATATAGGAAACAAAAATAATTATTCAGAAAACAAAAATAGAAAACAGAAAAAAAAAAAAATAAAAAAAATAAAACTTAAATCGTAATTTTAATGTAAATATTATGTTTTAAATTAACCTTCTATATTTAATTTTTTTTTTTTTTTTTTTCTAATATTTATTTCAACAGGTTTCAATATTCATATGGTAGATAGATATATAAGATTGACCAGAATAATTTTTTTTATTCATAGCTATTTCATATAATATTTAGTGATATTGCACAATCTGAAATATATTGAAAAAAAGAGTAATATAATTATTGTCTAACTGAATCTTTTGAATAGACAAAGTCTACCCCTTTTCTTAATGTTGAATTTGTGTTTTCTGGATTTTGTTTTGTTATATATTAAGCCACAATTACTTGAATAATAAAATGTTTTTAATGGTTCTTGATATAATTGGCCACATCCTTGGGTGATAAACATGCACTGCACCTTCAATAGCAATTACACGCAAACGTAGTTGACAGTCAGACAAATGCCGATAACTCACACCAAAACAGATTTATATATAAATGTTTCAAATATTAAGAAATATGATGTCAATAGTGAATGATACTAACAAAACTTGTAAGAATTTATGTAAGGGTTCAATTTAGATATAAAAAAAACTATTAGCAATTATCAAACCAAATTTCAGTTTTAGTTAATCAAGTTTTTGCTTATAATAAAAATTCAATTCAAAATGTTCCAGTTGTAGACTTCAGACTGATCTTACCAATGAGATTAATCAGTCTGAATACATGTTAATTTCTAACAGTTTAGCATCTATCAGAATTGGGTGTACAAATTTGCTCTGTCAATAAATGCTGCTCTGACAGCATATAAACTATTATCTCCTTATTTCAATGTGGCATTACACAACATGTTTGGGGGGCCAAATCTGTAGCATTCTGTCTCTGCCACAAATTCAACAGCAACAAGCATTGTGGCCACTGTTATTTACTGAACTGTAGAAGTATTAACTAAAGCTTGATTTATAAGCACTGATTTCAATCCACTTGGCCCAAGTCTCAAAACTGATATTCAAACTAATGCTCAGTTCACACCAACGGAGCTTTGATGGCGCTTTAAAGCGGCGTACAAATTGGTACCAAAGCGTAACAAAGCTCGACTAAAGCGCCAGGGTCGTAATAGAACGTTGGAAAGCTTTGAGCAAAGCACGATATTCGGCAAGAGCGCCAAAAAAATTTAAACTGTTTAAAAATTCTGGACGCTCTGTCATGAATTGATTAAAGCGCCGAGAACGTATCAAAGCTTAACAAAGGGTAACAAAGTTCAGCAAAGCTTGACTCAAAGCATAGGAAAGCTTAACAGAGCTTTATTCAAAGCGGGGACCCCAGTCTTCACGGCCTGTCACCACTTGATCAAAAGCGGCATGAAATCGGCCATTTCGAAATTTTCCAATGCGTAACAGAGCTTAACAATGCACAACTGAGCTTGATAATCGTATCAGAGCGTGATTTAAAGCGTCTAACAGTTTAGCATCTATCAGAATTGGGTGTAAAAATTTGCTCTGTCAATAAATGCTGCTCTGACAGCATATAAACTATTATCTCCTTATTTCAATGTGGCATTACACATGTTTGGGGGGGCCAAATCTGTAGCATTCTGTCTCTGCCACAAATTCAACAGCAACAAGCATTGTGGCCACTGTTATTTACTGAACAAAGTTCAGCAAAGCTTGACTCAAAGCATAGGAAAGCTTAACAGAGCTTTATTCAAAGCGGGGACCCCAGTCTTCACGGCCTGTCACCACTTGATCAAAAGCGGCATGAAATCAGCTATTTCGAAATTTTCCAATGCGTAACAGAGCTTAACAATGCACAACAGAGCTTGATAATCGTATCAGAGCGTGATTTAAAGCGTCTAACAGTTTAGCATCTATCAGAATTGGGTCATAACTGCATCAAAGCTTAAAGAAGCTTATCAAAGCGTGATTTAAAGCGTAACAAGGCCTGATCAAATAATTCGTCCCCAAAGCGTAACCAATTCGTATCAGAGCCATAGAGTTATATATAGAAACTATATATAACTCTATGATCAGAGCTTATCAGAGCGCAACATTACTTTTGATATTTTTTGAAAAGTAAACAAAAAATGATGGCGCTTTGCTCGCCGATTAAAGCGCGGCATTCGCCGTTGATGTGAACTAGGCATAAACGTTAAAAAGATCTGAGTAGTTGCCCCTGACTCGATTTAATCAAGAACAAAACCGATCAGGCTATACCATATCTAAGAAAGGGTATTTTCGAGGAATTCCTTCCTTCCCTCTTAAGTTTTAATAAGATCTAATTGTGCTCAAACCCTGCCATGTCAACATTCGTATTTGTGATACGGTGGTAGGATCTAAAAGCTTGCTAAATACAGCTTTTTGCTATTGTGATGCAACCACTGTATTGTTAAAAAAAATAATCATCCAAAAAACAATATAAAATAATATACTATTTTATGAGAGAAATTACAATACTTTATAATGACTATTCCGAAAATAATTTCAACTATACATACAAGAGAATTATGCGCTAATTAAAATAGCAGAACTGTTTCACTTACAATTTTAATATCAAATCATGAGGAAAGTACTATTATATACAAGTAAATACAAGTGGATGGTTTATATCCCAGATAACAATAGGAAATTTAACAGTTTCTTTCCTTCCGTTTTTACTAGGGAAGTCTACTGATAAATATTTACACGTTTTGTAAAATTTGAAAATTTAATTTGGCAAACTTTGAAAATTTATTTTTATGTTCCTTAAACTTAAATATAATAAATTTTGGAAATAAAAAATTAATCTGTAAACTCTCTATATACAAGGAAAACATACGCCAACAAAACAGCTCCGCTTACATCATAAACAAGCATGTACCTAGCATGATACACGCACCTTCCTGATAAATTTTCAGTACATCAAGGGTTTTCGCCAATCTGTGAAACTGTACCAAAAATCTAATTTGTCCAAGACATTGTTGATCTAAACAAACACTCAAACTATTATAATATTTTCAATAACTCAAATTGCATTCATTGAAAAACTTCTCAAATTAGAACCAAACTAAGATCTCATAATGATAAATGATCGCACTAAATAACATTTAAATCGGATGAAAACTGTAGCGTTCACAAACGAAGTTTGACGGTTTTTCAAGGGCAATAACTTAAAAAACATTCATCGAAACATATTTACAGTTGACCAAGATCTCAACATGATAAATGTTCTCACCAAATTATCATTTAAATCGGATGAAAATTGTTTTATCTTGTATTCACAAGCCAATTGTGGACGGACTGACGGACGGGGGCATTCAATATACATTATAATGTGTAGATTATAATCTGGGCATATAAAACCGTTTATCGAAAATTGGTCAATTTTTTTCTTGACCAAGATATCATAATAAATAATCACACCAAATTTCATTTAAAACTTTGAACTATATCTTAATGATCACCGTCAATACTTCTCTCTAATGCAGGGTTGGAACACTGTCTTATTGTGGCATTAGAATATCTCACATTAGTAGCCAGTTTGATTGTTGTCTGCTAGGTGATAAGGTGCCATGGGTTAGAATCCTCCTCAAGGTAAGAAAAATTCTAAAGCCTGTGAGAATTGGCTTTCACCCTCTTATACCTAAAATTTCAAGAGCAAGAGCATTAACTCATGGAAAAAACTTTTTATCAATCTCATAGAAGAGTTTCATAAATATCAACGAAAAAACTGTAAATACATTGTGTTCACAAATAGATTTGGATGTGTTTTAACAAACATTTTCATATTAAATTCATCAAATTCTATCTCTCGTCAATTTCAATATCAACAGACTTTTTCAAGAAAAAATTGACAACTTATCACTTTTATTTTCATCACTTCCAACTATAGCTTTTGATGCTTTTATATAAGTCAAGACAATAATTCTTAAAGGTTTATCAAAAAATTGTAAAAGTATATATTATAGTATAAGTATTGCAGACATGTTAGCAATATTCATATCAATCTAATTTGAATTAAAATTAACTAATATTCTGCGTCCAATCCAATTTTATTTACTTTATTTTTAACCAATCACAGCTTAGCATGTAGAACCTGTTTCTTGAGAAAAACAAATTGTAGGATAGCAAATAACTCATAGCAGAGCAATATGGCTGCTTCCTCACACTGGTTATTTGGCAATTTGTAATTGTTATTAAGACATGGGTCCTATGCTATGATTAGTTAAAGATAGCTTGCCAGGCAAGGTAATATACGCCCACTGGTAGCTTTGATTTTGAACATAAATATTTAGCAGTACAGTAACAATCACCAGTATGAAATATTCAACCTTCAGTCATACACTTCTTTTGAACTCTTTAGGGTGATACTGAATAATACTGAGTATGAGTTATTGCACTAGTTCTTGAAAACGTGTTCAATCTGTAGCTCGTGAAAACTCTAGAAGAAAAATATTCAATCTTCAGCGCCGTAATGAATAATAAAACCAAGTTTTGTCAAAATTCGGCAAGAATCATGCCTTCTAAATTTTTATGAGCTACAAATTGAACGAGGTTTCAAGATCAAGGGCAATAACTCATACTAAATATTTTTTCGATTTTTCTCATTTTCAATATTATCCATGGGTGATAACAAACACTCAAGCCAATTTTCGTTAAAATCCGTCAAGAATTGTGCCTTCTAGAGTGTTTACAAGCTAAAAATTGAACGCGTTTTCAAGAATAAGGCAATAACTCGTACTCAATATTTCTAGATTCTTCTGATTTTCAATAGGGTTCATCCTTGGGTGATTACGAACACTCATACCAAGTTTCATCAAAATCCATCAAGAATTGTGCCTTCTAGAGTGTTTACAAGCTAAAAATTGAACGCGTTTTCAAGAATAAGGCAATAACTCGTACTCAATATTTCTAGATTCTTCTGATTTTCAATAGGGTTCATTCTTGGGTGATTACGAACACTCACACCAAGTTTCGTCAAAATCTGTCAAGAATTGTCTCTTCTAGAGTGTTTACAAGCTAAAATTTGAACACGTTTTCAAGAACAAGGGCAATAACTCATACTAAATATTTTTCAATTTGTCTGTTTGTCAATACAGTTTATCCATGGGTGATAACCAACACTCATGCCACGTTTCGTCAAAAACCGTCAAGAATTGTGCCTTCTGTGTTTACGAACTAAAAATTGAACGTGTTTTCAAGAACAAGGGCAATAACTAATACTAAATATTTCTCAATTTTTCTGATTTTCGATTTTTCCGTTTATCCTTGGGCGATAACGAACACTCATACCAAGTTTCATTAAAATCCGTCATGAATGGCACCTTATAGAGTGTTTACGAGCGTTTCAAGAACAAGGGCAATAACTCATAGTAAATATTTTTTGATTCGTCTGATTTTCAATAGGGTTCATCCTTGGGTGATTACAAACAACCATACCAAGTTTCGTCAAAATCAGTTAAGAATTGTGCCTTGTAGAGTGTTTACGAGCAATTGTGGTCGGACCGACGGAAAGAGGTGTTAAAAATAACATCAGTAGAACAGGACTGCAGTAGAAAATTTTCTTTTTTTAATTTTAGATTTTAATTAGATTATATTTGTGTTTAAAACTTCAAATGAGAAGGTATCACAAACTGTGTCTCATACCTTGACTAAATAGCCACCGTTCTTGTGTCATAGAGGTTTGTAATTGTATCGATTTGAGTGGATTGTACGCCAGGGAATACAGCTAATGAGAGCCTTTGCCAGCTGTTAATATTACGGATGTGCTTGTGAATTTGTTTTGATTTACAGAAGAAAATAGACTTCATTCCATACAAATATTCAAGAGAGGTGCCTAATTATATCAAGATATTACTTTGTTATAACTTGACATTCTCTTCAATTCTAATTCTTTAAACTGAAAGAAATGTCAAAATGTCATCTAGATGTTAGTTTGCTAACTTGTATTGACAGCACACTTTTAACAGTGTATTTGATTGGTTATAAAGAATAATGACAACTTTTGATACTATTTAGTCAAAAGCACCTTGATCATAATTAAGCATGTCAGATTCTAGATTGTAATATTAACCAACAGACAATATGAAACCAACATCTATATCTCATCAGATAAAAAATACATTTTGTTTGTGGATTTAGGCATACATCATATGTTCTGAACTCCATGATAAAAGATTCAAGTTTCAATTAAACTTGTAAAATATGATGGATAGCCAAAATAAGGTAAAATTATGCACATTCAAGAACATTTCAAGAAACTAACAATTCAGCAGAATGAGTTTATTGCGAAATGAATGCTTTAATTGTTATAATAAATTATTATTTAACAATAGAACAAAGAAGACGGTATTGTTTATTTATAGAAACATTCATGAATGTGCATGAATTATCTTCACGTTATTGTCTATCAAAAGTTCTCATTTTTCTAAACATGGACTACAAGCCAAATTTTGCTGGTGTACGTCGAGGAGTTGAAGCAGGCGTTCCAGGCTTCCGTCTACCAGGAGTTGCTATTTGACTTCTATGACTGGAGATGGCAGCTTGAACAGCCTGTTCTTTCCTAGCTTTGATTAGTTCATCAGCTCTCTTCATTTCTTCTTCCATTTCAATCATCTCATTTAAAGCCTGTTTCTTTCTTTCTACTCTGGTCTTACTAGCATCCTTAATACTATAAAACATAGGCCCCAATTCAGCCAGCCATTGTCCATCTACAGATGTAACACATTGCATGTATTCTTTAGAAGTCATAACTAGTTCATGATAAACAATATAGTCTGGAGTGTATCCCATACCAAACAGAGCACTAGTAGGATGCAGATGGCAGGGCATACCAGTTCTACAATTAACATATTCACCAAGTCCTTTTAATCTAGCAGCTTGGTGAAAATAAGCTGAACAAATAGATTTACGTACAATATCCCACTCATTACCACAAGATATTAATTCCATTTTCTGTGAGTCCATAATTTCTTTTAATTGTTGTCGAACTTCCCGTACTTTTCTCATAGCTTTAATATGAATAAAATGTTCATTACACCAATTGGAAGAATAACCATTTCTTTTCCATTGTTGGTAAACATTTAGGTATGTTAAATGGTCACTCTCTGGAACCTGAAACTTTTCACGAGCAGAATCTGAATCTTCTTCACGACCTTTAGGTCTATAAAATATGGTAGGCACTGACAACATAGATACTATTGTCAATATTTCAGCACTACATTCCATATCTAGGGAAACAATAACCATTTTGGATAGAGCTGGATCTAATGGGAATTCTACCATTTGGCGACCCATGGGAGTTAGAGAGCCAGTGTTATCTAATGCACCAAGAATCCATAACTGATACATTGAATTCATGATATTGTCTTGAGGTGGAGGATCCATGAAATGAAATTGTAAAAGATCTTGAACACCCAGAGACTTCAACAACAAAACAACATTAGCTAAATTAGTCCTTTGTATTTCTGGAACAGTACAAGCTAATAATTCATCTTTATATTGCCTATGTGTATAGAGTCTATAACACTGACCAGGTCCAGTACGACCAGCACGCCCAGACCTTTGGTTGGCATTGGCCTGAGATATTGGGTATATTTGTAGAGCATCCATACCAATTTTAGGATTGTACACCTTTAATTTACAATAGCCTGCATCAATAACAAACATAATACCATCTACAGTTAATGAGGTCTCAGCAATATTGGTAGCAACTATACATTTCCTTACACCATCAGGGGCTTTTTGAAAGATTTTGGCTTGTAAATCGCTTGGTAACTGAGAGTAAATTGGTAATATGGCTAGTGGTGGAGCATCATCTAAATCATCCAATCTTTCAGCTAATAATTCACAAGTGATCTCAATATCTTCTTGACCAGGCATAAATATCAACATATCACCCTCTAATCCCTGAAGATGAACTTGTAATGCCTGTTTTACAGAACAATCAACATAATCTTCCACGGGATTTTTACTGAACATTACGTCTACAGGAAAAGTTCTACCAGGGATGTTAAATATTGCAACATTGCCAAAAAAGTTTGAAAATTTTGTGGCATCCATTGTAGCAGAAGTTACTATCAATTTTAAGTCCTGTCTCCTAGATACCACATCCCTTAATAAACCAAACAGGACATCAGTATTTAAAGATCTTTCATGAGCTTCATCCATAATAATAGCACTGTAATGATCTAGATCTGATTCACGTAAAGATTCTCTCAATAAAATACCATCAGTCATGTATTTTATTATTGTATTCTCATTTGTACAGTCTTCAAAACGGATAGCATAACCTACTTCCTCTCCTAAATTTACACCCATCTCTTCTGAAACTCTTTTAGCAACTGACATGGCAGCAACTCGCCGAGGTTGAGTACATCCAACCAATCCAAATTTGGTATAACCATCTTCATGAAGATATTGAGTTAACTGAGTTGTTTTTCCTGAACCAGTTTCACCAACAATAATAACAACACTGTTATCTCTTATAATGTTCAATAGTTCGTTTCTAACAGCAAATATGGGTAAATATTTTCTCTGTGCTGCTATAGATTTCCTTTTGGCAAAATCACTAACTGCTTCATTTTTATCTTGCATTAAATCTGCAAACTTATGATCAGCTTTAAAATCACCTTCAGGATTTTTATCTACATCATCTTCTTTTTTCTGTACACCTAGAATATCTCCCATTCTTGTGCCAGCTAATTCCCATTGTTTTAATTGTGATTTCTTTCTTTCTTTCTGTTCACGATAAGTACGAACTATGGCACTGCCTTTTCGTGAAACAATGGCCATATCTGATGTGGGATCTTTAACTGGAACAACTGGTTCTGGTTGCTTTGTAAATACAATACGACCATCTAAGAAAGGTGGGACAATATTATGGACCAGAAGATGTACTCTTGCTTCATTGTCTTCTTCAAAATCTTCATCATAATCAGTTTTAGTAACAACACCACTTCTTAACATTCGGTTTGTTTCCCACATATCAATATCTTTATTAATCTGTCTTTGTCTAGCTGACATTCTCTTCTTCTTTTTGGCTTCCATATCTGCTTCTTTCTTTTTAGTATATTCTTCAGAGGTACCAGAGAATGGATTGTGATCATCATCATAACCTTCATCCATACCATACCATTCTCTATCTAGTCGTTTCTGTTCAGCTTCCCAATCTAACCGATCTTCTTCTGAATTAAATCTGTCTTCCTCTTTCTCATCGTCTTTTGTTTTATAAGATGTTCTCTTTGGATTATTCATCCATTTATTGTATTTGTAAGAGGGTGTGGCCTTGGGAGTATCATCAACATGATTTCTTGAAGACTTATTTGATCTTTTTGATCTCAAAAGGTCACTTGATCTACTGGATTTACTTCTTAGACTTTTATCAGAATCATGTTCAGACCTTGGGGTAAGAAGATCCCAACTTGATTTTCTAGATGGTGTAATATCATCATCTTCCCAATTAGTTTGTGAAGGAGTATCAGTTGGCTTCAACTTTGGGGTGGCTAGTTCATCATTATATCGTCTCGATGGAGTTTCTTCCCAATCTTTATAGCTTCCTCCTCTATGACTGGACCTTTCAGAACGTTCTGACCTATCATAATCACGACTTCTGTAGCTTCTATCACCACGGTCTCTACTTCTACTACTTCTATAATCATCATCCCCTGATCTCCTGTGATCTCTGCTGTGCTTACTTTTATAATCTTTGGACGAAGCATATACTCCTCTGTCCCTGTCTCTATGATGACGATGTAGCTTTTCTTTCACAGAATCACTAACACCACCTGGATGAGACGGCGTCTCCGAACGTGTTGTCCTGTAATGTCTCTCTTTGATATTTGAATGTTTCTTTGACCTATTTCTATCACCATCATTGTCATCATTTTCAACATCTTCCTCATCATCATCAAGATATGATTTCACCTTGGATCGTTTCTCCCTTACATCAGGACTTTCTTGCAATTTCCTTTTCTCTGCGGCCAATTTATCCAGACCCAAAATTGATTGTGATGGTTTAGAAAACTGAATGTTGTCCTTTTTGTTCGAGGGTCCTTTTTTCATTATAATCAAGCCACCTTTCTCATTTCCACTAGAACCTTCAAGTTTGTCAACACACTCAACATCATTGAATTCAAATGAAGCCATGGTAAGATATCCTAATATACAATTCTTAACAAGTTATTCAGTATATTAAATTGTCGATATTTAATTCACATTTTGTTTTGTTTTTACCGGAAGTTCTTTGGAATAATAAAAAATTTCAATTATGTTTTTAAGTAACGAAACGGAATATTCAACGGACAGCATTATTTTACCTAAAATATTAATTGTTTAAGCAAATATGGTTCGATCTACCATTTAAAACATAGAGAATGCTTGTTGTTACATATTTCATTTTCTAGATTGAAAATAGAAAACAAAATACAAGTCGGGAATAAATTTGTACGTCACCAACGTTTTCAAACGTTCGACAATTTACTTATTCGAGACTATCCTAGAAGTGTAACGGGATTCAGTCTTGTTAATCTAGAATTAAAAGTTAAAGGAGTAACACTGTAATAGCCATATTATATTTGAATTATTTATGTTTTACGATGATTGTAATCCATTTTTCTTATTTCTTCTTTTCAAGATAATGAATAAATTATAAAATTCATAAATGTAGCCATGCTATGAGCTGTAAGCCTACTGCGGTCAAAAATTAAATCAAATACCCGGTAGTATATAGTCCAACATATATTGCTGCATTTAGTCTATAAATTTGGTTACCGGTGGGGCCTTATAAGTTATATATGTTATATAAATAATGATGAAATTAATCCGTTAAATTCAATATAAATTTTATAGCTTTAAAAATAGTCACTCTGGATGCAGCGCTAATAAATAACCACATTCGATTAAGTTAAATAGGCTGGAGATTGATCTTTCAAATTATTTGAGGTAACCGGGTAAGATGACCATATTTGGGCATATTTGTCTACTTAGTGCCATCTGATTGGTTCATTTATGTCGTCTGCTTAGTTGCAATACCATCGATACGGTTCGTGTCTTCATGATCATATCTTCCGGGTGATCTTTAAAAAAAATAATTTTATCAAATATAATTACAACGAATTACAAAATTAAATAGGCTACCCATGACATAAAATAAAATATCTCAACCCCAGTTTCACCTTCATATATTCATTTTATGCTAAGTTCAAGATGTAGAAGTTTAATAAGATAGGAGTGTAGAACTGAACAAAAATCAATTGACGCGTCAAGTCACCTGACCTCAAATCTAGTGCGCAAGGCGTTTTATCGCTAACCACCAAAGCTCTCAGACGGTCACAAATATTTCATTTTTCATCAAGTTAACTTATTTAAAATGTCTATCGGGGATACAGAATCTTTACGAGACGCTTACGAAGAAGTTCGATCTGATAAAACCGACACTAATTGGTAAGTGGTATTTTTTTTTTTAAAGTGCCTAGTAAAAGTTTTGTTGCCTGTGTATTTTCTCATGTCGATAAACATGTCTGGGAACGCCCCTTCAAAATTACTCAGACATCGGATTAAATACAAAGTTAAAAACTTACTTATTGTGGGACTTTGCTTTTATGCAAAGTCCCAGTTTGTTATCGATATGTCAATTCTTTTTTTTTTTTTTTTTTTTTTTTTTTTTTTTCGAAATTTACACACCTTCCTGAGCTTAGTCTACAGTAGTTGCAGCAACCATTCAACTTCTCTAGACCTTCTGTAGTGGCGACGTGTTCCTTAAATATATATTGGAACATTTTTGCAAAACCGGAAGTGCCACAGTTCAACATGTGCAAAAAGTCGAAAATCGGTTCTAGAAGGCGTATTTTTGCATCGATTTTCTTCGGGTTTTCATTTCTACAATCATTTCTACAAATCTGACCTGATAGCACTTAAAAAATTTTAAATTTCGAAAATTCGTAGCACAAATTTTTTGGCCGATTTTCGAAATTTTTGGACCATTTTTCAGTTTTTTTTGGATTAATCTGAAATTTTGATAAAAGATGCATGTCACTAATGTAAACCATTTGACGTATTCAAAATTTTTGCGTCACTTCCGGTTAAAGTGGAAAATCGATTTTCACTTCCGGTTGAATAACTTCCGGTGTGATTGAAATATTTCAAGAAATTATGTATATCGTTATTAATCTTAATTCTATGGCCGATTTTAAAATAAAATATTAGTCCGAAAAAAATACTTCGGCCGCCATCTTGATTTGATAGAACTCAAAATGGGGCTTCGGGGGAGAATGGGATTGGTCAAATTTTATGTTGGTGTATACTTTAGTCGATGGCGACAAAAATGTTGGAAATGGATTTTTGAATTTGACTTTTGCTTTTTTGCAACTTCCGGTCGAATTTTTCAATTTTTGAAGGCTTGTATCTTGTGACCTTGACCTTTGATGACCTTGATCTTTATAGGGTCAAAGGTCATTGACCTTGGCTATCATTTGATACTTTGACCTTTGACCCCAGACATGTACTTCCGGTTTTATAGCTATCCGTAAAAAGCCAAATTCGAAACTTTGGATTGCTCTAACACGTGACCTAATTAACCTAGAGGGTTAATTTTTTCGGTTTCCTAATGTTCTTCTCATGCACTTTACATAGATATAGAACAATTGCTTTTTTAAAGCTAAATTGAAATTCGTGATTTTTTCAAATTTGAGTTTTGTTTTACCATATTTGTGTCTTTTTGATCTTGGTGTATGTATATCTTATGACCTATTTTATGGAGAACCTTGATATTTGGAATACAACTAGACACTTTGAATATGAATTCACCTATGGCAAAAAAATTGGGGTGGGCGTGGCACATCCGGGTTGAATTACTAATTGTTTACATTTTGGGGCTGGGGCATAACTCGCATATCTTTTGACTTGAATAATGTAGAAGTTTGAAATTTGAAACACAACATAACATTTGGAATATCAATTACCCTATGCAAAAAAATTAAGGGGGGCGTGGCACATCCGGGTAATATTACTCATTATTGATATTTTTGGCCAGGAGCATAACTCGCAAAGTATTACTAATTGTTTACATTTTGGGGCTGGGGCATAACTCGCATAGGATGCGTTTGTTCAAAAAGAGACTTTGCACACAATTACCTCATCCTTTTGGCCAGTATGTATTAACAGCTCAGTTGTTTCAGCATTATAGTTATTTTGACCTTTGTTGACTTTTGTTGACCTATATCTTTTGACCTCTATTATGTAGGAACTTGACATTTGGAACATAACGTAACATTTTGAATATTGATTAACTTATTCAAAAAAAATTGAGTTGGGCGTGGCACTTCCGGGTTAAATTACTCATTATTGACATTTTTGGCCAGGGGCATAACTCGCAAAGTATACATTTGTTCAAAATGGAACTTTTTACACAATTACCTCATATTTTGAGCCACTTTGTCTTAGAATTTTGGTTGTTTCCGCTTCATAGTTCAAAAAAAGGAACAGGTTTTGGAAATTCAAAATTTTCAATTTTTGACCTTGACCTTTGTAGGATCAAACGGCATTGGCTATCTATTTATACTTTTATATTTGCTGTCCTAAGTCAACTTCTGGTTTTATAGTCGTTAGCAATTTGAAATTTTAATGGCGTATATCTCTTGATCTTGACCTTTTTAGGCCTTCTCCTTTACAAGTTCAAAGGTCATTGACCTTGGCTATCTGCTGATACTTTCATTTGTGAGGTCTGACGTCCACTTCCGGTATTAAAATCTTCTAAAAAGGGAAAATTTCTCAACTTTAGACTGTTCTTGTGCTTGATCTAATTATCGTGGAAGGTTGATTTTTTCAGGGTCTTTTGCATTTTGCTACATTTGCAAAGTCCCACTCTGTGCCACGTGTGGCTCTAGTTACATTTGTTTGAGTATTAGAATGTAATACAATTTCTTTTTTTGTATGAAATAATTGTTAAATGCTTGTTTTTATTTTGCTTTACTAAGTTTTTGTAGACTTAGACCTACAAAATATAATATTTATTATCAATTGATTGAATTCTATGAAGAATATTGTTAAAGCTATTCTGTTATCACAACCGTTCAAAGTGAAATTATACTCTGTAAATCTTATTCTCTAATAAATATTATATAATTACTAGTGCAAAAATTTCAGAAAACTGAAATCTGAAATTAAATGAAGGGAGACATAATAACTGTCAATTGATTTTGATGAATTCACTTAATGATGTAATTCTAATATGTAAATTGCGTATTATGAAAATGTATGTAAGAATAATGAAGTATGTATCTTTTATAATTTTGCTTTTTTAGGGCTGTATTAAAGTATGATGGCAATACTATTGTGTTAGAAGATACAGGAACTGACTTTGGTGATTTTAAAAGTCGATTTACAGGTAAATACATATATATTTTAGGCCTTCCTTCTATTTGTGTTTCTATCAATTGATACTTTTATTCCAATCCAATTTTTGCTCAACCGAGATATCATTGTTTGAAGAAAAGATTTATTTCTTTCTTTGCATCAAGAGATGATAAAACGGATTATTCTAGATTTTCTTGAATGGTCAAGTTATTCAAAATTAAGGAAGGAGACCCCACCTTTAAGAGGAGGATTCAGTAGGTTGATATATTTCCTGTTATTATGAGATAATTAATAGTATTATAATTCTAAGTGTTTAAAGGTTGTAGTGTACCATCCAATAAACTATGGTTGATATTATCAAATATCCCATATTTGTTATAGCGTAAGAGTTTTGTTTTGCAAATGAAATAAAATTTTGTCTCTAGTGTTTTATCCTATGTACTTAATATTTGGCTTTTTTCTGAATCAAAAATAATTAAAAGCTATAATTTTTTTTTTCAAAAATAAATTGATGATCTAATGAATTCATATGGTAGTGAAGATTTGCCTATTTGACCCAATAATGGATTGCCTAGGGGAAGATATGATATCCTATAAATAATGTTATTACTATTAATTAATCATCTACACACTTGTTTAAAATTTTCTCTAGGTATTTTTATACGCCCACATGAAATGGGGGGCGTATATTGTCGTCACCCATGTCCGTCAGTCCGTCCGTCCACAATTGCTTGTAAACACTCTAGAAGGCACAATTCTTGACGGAATTTAACGAAACTTAGTATGTGTGTTCGCAATCACCCAAGGATAAACCCTATTGAAAATCAGCGAAATCGAAAAATATTTCGCATGAATTATTGCCCTTGTTAATTTTTAGCTCGTAAACACTCTAGAAGGCACAATTCTTGACAGATTTTGACGAAACTTGGTATGAGTGTTTGTTATCACCCAAGGATAAACCCTATTGAAAATCAGCGAAATCGAAAAATATTTAGTATGAATAATTGCCCTTGTTCTTGAAAACGCGTTCAATTTTTAGCTCGTAAACACTTTAGAAGGCACAATTCTTGACAGATTTTGATGAAACTTGGTATGAGTGTTCGTTATCACCCAAGGATAGACTCTATTGAAAATCAGCGAAATCGAAAAATATTAAGTATGATTCATGCCCTTGTTCTTGAAAACGCGTTCAATTTTTAGCTCGTAAACACTCTAGAAGGCATAATTCTTGAAGGATTTTAATGAAACTTGGTATGAGTGTTCGTAATCACCCAAGGATAAATCCTATTGAAAATCAGCGAAATCAAAAAATATTTAGAATGAATTATTGCCCTTGTCATTGAAAACGTGTTCAATTTTTAGCTCGTAAACACTCTAGAAGGCACAATTCTTGAAGGATTTTAACGGAACTTGTTATGAGTGTTCGTAATCACCCAAGGATAAACCCTATTGAAAATCAGCGAAATCAAAAAATATTTAGTATGAATTATTGCCCTTGTTCTTGAAAACACGTTCAATTTTTAGCTCGTAAACACTCTAGGAGGCACAATTCTTGACAGACTCTACAAGTCACAATTTTTTTGTTCATAATCACAATTTACAATAGATGTCATTATTTTCCTGAGAAACTATTTTGGTTAACAAATAAGAAAATTTAATTTAATCATTTAACATGTCCCTAACCAGCCACCATACATGTACAGCATCATAAGATACTATAAATAGACCAAGTGGAAAATCCAAGACAGATATCCAATCATAGCTTAGTCATGTGACATCCCAAGATGCAGCAGTTTATCTGATTTTGTGCTGATACAAAAAATATAAAACAATGTGTACTTGCTGTAAAACTTCATTTCAAAGTATTTCTCGATTTTATGTCAACAAGTGCTAGAAAATAACTAGTAATTCTTATTGTATATTACCATTTTCAATACATTCCAATTATTTTGATTCTCTTTGCGCTTCAATTCTAATCATTATTAATCACTCTACAGCATTATTCATGTGATTTTAATTCAGCTTGAGTGTTTAGTGACTAAATTCTTTTTCACTAAAAGGTTTTTGGAGATACACAACTTGATATTGGTCTGGAGATGCACAACTTGATATTGGTCTGATTCTTGAGAGGTTGATATTGGTCTGATTCTTGAGAGGTTGATATTGGTCTGATTCTTGAGAGGTTGATATTAAGTAGCTTTTTTAACAAATTGAAAAGATTATATGATTACATTTCGAACATTTCAACTTCAACTTTGACAATAAACTGAGGTCAAGAATCAATTACCAAATTGAAATCGATTATTGAAAACAGGCTACTGATCAAAAATTTTAATGAAGAAATCTTCTGATTTCCGTCTATTGATGTATATGGTTGTATAAATTTGTCATTTATTGATATCTGGTTCATAGAATTTCTAAAATGTATAATCATCACATATAATCTGATGTGACTTGTCCAATTACCATGTAGCAGATCATGTTGAAAAAAACAAATTTAACTGACTTTTAATCATTTACAAAATTCGATAATCAAAATTATATATTGATTATTTTTGCCCAGTCCTAAGTAGTCGCATGATCATAAGTATATTTCATAGATTTGTGTTAGTGTACATATTATTATTTTTATAACTGTTGTTTTTACACAGTGCTTTGTATTTATTTTAGTTTATTTTATTATTTGTATTAAAACTTTGTTAATTTCACACATTTTTTCTTATTCCTGTGGCACATTGAGCAGTAATTACTTACTTGCTAATGGATAAACTGTCATAATAGTAAAATTCAATTATTTTCTTGTCCTTATTAGCCAAGACAGCTGCAATCAAGTATACTTACAAATCCATTGCATTTCATGCAAACTAATCAAATCTTCGAGAAAAAAAATGTAAGGATATAAAAAGATTAAATTCAACAGGAGAAAAAAGGTGGTAAATATTAGCAACTCCCACCTGTCATAAACTCGATACATAAAACTTTTAATATTGAAATCACCCAAGGATAAATCTGATCAAAAATCTTGTAAAACACGTAATTTTTATTCTACAAAGCAGAAGTCTGAAACAAATTTGACAACTTGATGAAATTGATCACAATCAAAACTAAACCTTTTGAAATATAAAATATGGTACAAGTTATTGCCGTTATTCTTACAAATGTGTTTGCTTTTTAACTTGTGATGGCACAGTTTGTGATGGATTTGGGTATAAGTTGAATATTTCCTGGTGTCTATGTTTGCTATTTTCTAACAAATATTCAATTTCAAACAAAGCTATCAGTGGGCGTATATTACCTTGCCTGGCAAGCTATCTTTGAATTTCCCCACAATCAAGTAAGGCTTTGGTTGCTTATTATGATTTAAAATCATGATCTACCATACCAGTTCATGAGTATCTAAAGTGTCTATTGGCCAGCTTGGTAAATTGAAAGCAAAGTCGGGAAGGGACTTTCACAACTTAGTCAGCTATATGAGTATTAGATTATGAATTGTTGTCCATAATATTCAATCATGAGTAAGCCTAACCTATTTATCATCTACACAAAAGACAACAAATAAAATAAATAAAGGTGAATGTTCTATCATGCATTAAATATATTAAGTCAAAGTGAGACCCATCAAGCATCATAGTTAACTATTATCTTTACCTATCAAGTATTTAAATTGGGTTTTAATTGAATCTGAAACTAGACTCTAATTAGTCTCTCTATATCTACTTATATACATAATTAAAGGTCACTTGCCAATTTTTGAGAAAAAAAAAAACTTAGATGCATAATGTTATGCCCAATACTAATTTATTAAAGTTTTTTGAATAAACTTTGTATGGATATATTTGTCAAGTAATTCTGAATAGTACAATGACTTAGATGTCCTTGAAATGTAACCTTCAATGTATATTCAGTAAATTGTACTATCTCTAGTAATTCTACTGATATAAATAAAATGGAACTATTCTCTGATTATTGTAGATGATGAAAGAAAGTATGGGTATTTGAGAGTTGTCACTGGTGATGAATTAAGTAAAAGAAGTAAATTTGTGTTTATAGCATGGTGTGGTAATGATATTTCTGCTATAAAAAAGGCTAGATTGGGTACAGATAAAGCACATGTTAAAAATATAATGAGTGTAAGTACCAATACCTCCATCAGTCCCCTTTTCGTCTCCAACCTTAGTAAAAAATAATAGAATAATATAAGTTACATTGTTAATGTAAGTTTTTTCCTAACCAGCTTCTTGAAATATATGTTTTAAATGTCCAACTTGTTTTAACAAGATGTAGAAAGTAAATAAACCCAACTTTGAATCAATACTGCACCTCTTATTATATCATGTGACAAATTGTTCTTTATATATGAAGGCTGTACTGTCGCTTGATTACAGCAATGTAGATAAAAAATTTCATATTTCAAGTCAAGGTATATTGAGACAAAGAATTCATGTAAATCGGCTACAAGGGTTGATAAAGCAGCAGCTTTTGGACTAATTTATCCACAGTTCAGAGTGCTTCAAATATATAATCCATCATCATGACAGTTATTGACAAATTGTAGGCCTACATTTATTATACATGTTATAATCTGCAAGAATATGGGATTTCTACATTAAAGATGAATCTAAATAAAAAGTCAATTGTTCTTTCAAAATGTATTTAGGATATGCTAGGGTAATCAAGAACTTTCCATATTAAATGGTTCTTATATAGGCTGGGTTTAGACTGGCTTACACACTTATCAAATATTTAAATACTAGATATTGAATTTTTTTTTAATATAGAACTTTGCTATAGAATTACTAGTATCAGAACATGAGGAATTAGAAGAAGAACAAATATTACAGGCTGTACGTAAAGCTGGTGGAGCTAATTATGGTACAGGACAATAATGATGGTTTTTATAATTATTTATCACAATTAATTTAGTCAATTTCATCTTCTCCACAAATTTCATTTTGAATTATGTAAAAGGTAACAGAAATTTGGGAAGGACAAACAGGCTAAATAATTTTTTTTAAAAAACTGATAACTATTCTTAATTAAATCTATGCAGAAATTAACCAATATTTTGTGTCTTTTGCAAAAATGTAAACTTAAAACCTTCTCAAATGTTTTCATTATAAATCAACCATGGCCAAGTTTAAAATTGCTTTCAACCACAATACTCTATGAGCTATAGGATTAATGGTATTATGGTGGAGATGTTTGATACAATTCAGTATTGTGTTTGATGTGTTAATATTGACAAATTCAGGACAATACTCTCATTAACTCATGATGAGAAAAACACAAACAATTCATTATTTCAACTGTATTTTCACACCATCATGATTGTGTGTATTTGCTCAGATACTCAATAGTGTTCATTTGTAAAAATTATTATTTTAATTAATTACATTCCAGGAAGTAATTTATGAATATCACATTAGACTATATTGAATTGTAGTCTATATAAAATCTAAATAATGTGTTTGTCATGACAAACATCAATGTTTTGTCTGCCAGTTGCTTAGCCTTCCCCATGTTTACAATGTCAAGATATTATGAACTTCGACTTACTTTGGCTGCAATAGCAAACTTTCTTATATCACAGATCTTTATGAATGCAGGGATTTGATTGGATGTATGCTAGCGAATACAGTCAATCAGAGGTCTCTGCAGAAAGTCTGTAAATAATAAGCTGTAACATTTACAGTCTTTCTCTCAAGGGGTCTGATGGACTGTATTTGATGGCATACAATTGAAATAAATGGACGCATTTCTTGACACAAGAAATGTGTATCACAGTCAAGATATAAGACAAGGTTTGTAATATCTTGACTTTGTGAAGATGAGCTAACCTTGATTGGTTTATTCCAGATATATGCCTGTTTTCAGTAATTTACATATTTGGTATGTAATAATTAGATTTGACCAAAATACTAAAATGTGCCTTATCCCTTTCAAAATCAGGCCTTTCTTATTTTTGTCCAAAGTATTATGTCATATATCATTGAGTATGAACGACTCTAGGCCTATACAAATATTGCAATTATGGCCTACTAACATGAAATTGGTTGTTATTGAAATGATGGTTTTAATTTAGTTCATCTTGAAGAATAATACTCCTTTATATTTGAACAGTATATCGATATAAGTTGTCAATGTGATCTCTTACACATTTATTTCATAATTTTCAAGTTGTTGATATTCGGAACATTTATATAGACTAGCAATATGTCCTTGATGATATAATTTTTAATTGTAATACATATACCCTGATTTGTTGAATAAATATTTTCAAGTATTTTATTCCTATTGCTCTGAGATAATTGATCTAAATGATGGCATCACAGACTCCATCCTATCCAAATATGGTTTTTCCCACATTTCATATTTACCCCTGTAAGAATTACAATTTAATGTTGTGATTAGTGTATAACTGACCAAATAAACAAAATAAGATAGCTTGCCAGGCAAGGTAACATACACCCACTGGCAGCTGTCAGAAATGATTAAACAGTCTTTAGTGACTACAGGGTTACAGGGTTGCACAATATAGCTAATAGAGTGAAACGTCAAGTCAGACACGATATTTCGGTGAAATATTATCCGATCATCGCGAAAATCGATAGGGATCATCTTCATAATGACATTGACATACAGAATAAAAATCAAAAGAATCTGTAAAGAATTGTAGCCTGTAGAGTGAGCACGCGTTGCACAATATAGCTATTAGAGTAAAACGTCAGGTCAGACACGATATTTCGGTGAAAAATTATCCGATCATCATGAAAATCGACAGATCATCATGAAAATCAATAGGGATCATCTTCATAATGACATTGACACACAAAATAAAAATCAAAAGAATCTGTAAAAAATTGTAGCCTGTAGAGTGAGCACGAGTTGCACAATATAGCTAATAGAGAAAAACGTCAAGTCAGACACGATATTTAGGTGAAAAATTATCCGATCATCACGAAAATCAATAGGGATCATCTTCATAACAACATTGACATACAAAATAAAAATCAAAAGAATCCATAAAGAACTGTAGCCTGTAGAGTGAGCACGAGCCAAATGTGAACGGACGGACCGACGGGGTGATTACAATATAAGCCCATCTTACGTGTGGGCGTATAAAAAATAAGATAAATAATTTTTGTTCCAAATATTTATGATGTTAAATTTTTAAGCAACCACTCCAACTTCTACATATCCTTTAATCCTGTGTGATAACACCACCAGCCAATCAAATTTCTTCTCTTGAGCGCTGGGATTGTGGCACAAACAAAAGGTGTATTAAGAGAGGTTAAAGACCTTTAGTTCCTGTTCTGGAGAGTTAACAAATTTGATAGGCTGGCAGCAATATCAATCAAGACCACATACTGCACAGGTCTAAAATAGAAACTCAAATGCAAAATCCAACTACTACGACTACCAACAACTACCTAGTTTGCGATATTAGCATCCGCTGGAAGCAAACGTTAATTAGTCATCTACCAACCAACCTACTATTGCAATGTTGAGACAGGGCTATAACCATTCATCGAAACTTCACCCGAGATATCAATAATATACACTACACAAATCATTGTAGAGTCGTGTTATACCCCACCCACAAACTTCACAAAATTCAAATTCTCTGAAGATCCTGTCATTCTGCATTTCAATACCAAGTTCTTATTTTTTAAAAAAAAATAGAGTTTTTCTTGACAGCAAGAAGGTTGACAAACCAACAGAGGTGCACCCACAATGTATATCCACATTTTTATGTGTGCATATAAAAACAATAACAATTCTTTGCACAGAGATTTATCTATTAGACCATGTGAATATAAAATAAAATTTTGTTTTGATTGATTTTGTTCAAATCAGGATGAAAAACAAACACATTACATAAATAAGACAACATACAATAATCATTTCTAAATGTGAAATATACCTCAAATTGTTTAATAAATATCTTCATACCTAAATAAAATATTCCTGTTTCCAAAATAAAATAATTATATTTCCAAGGTTACTATTGACTGATTGAATATGAATGAAATAAAATGTTTTAATTTATACATTATATCATGATATGTCAAATATACAACAGCAAAGTAGTACATTTATGAATACAGCGAGTTATTTATCTATAAATTAGCACAGAAATATCACAAAAACAGATTAATTATTGATTAGCTTAGATTCTTGCAATGGATTGAGTTTGAAACACCCTTGAAAGAGAAATGTAAGTCATCTTCACATATTAAAATTTTATAAAGAAAAATTGTTTTATGGTGTAAATAACATCACTACATGTAAACGCACAATTAAAACAAATAATTTTTATAGCAATCCATAGAAAAGCAGTCTTCATGAAACATTACATAAGACTAGAAAAATTATATCTTATGTTTTCATCTTTTTAGGTGAATTACCATTATTACAATCCATAGTTTGAAGTAAATCTGGTGCTGTTAAATTTAATAATGGATTCTCTGAATAACTACCAAAAACAGAATTTAACAATGCCACACCATATCCTGTAGCTCTATCATTCTACAAAAAATACAAATAGTTCTAGACCTCACATGAAAATGTAATACCAATGTGCATGAAATGATAATTACTGTTTTACTTTAGTCCTATAGTTCAGAACTCAATCTTAAATGCAAACACAGATTGGCTAAACAGAAAGCAGTAGATTCTTTTTCCAAGAAAAATATCAAAATTTCACAAAACTGGAAACTTACAATATAGGCTGGAGCAGCCATATCAATATGCAGCCAGATACCAGGATAGTCAAATCCTATATGTGACCCAATAAATAATCCAGCACACGATACCTGAGCATTACTTCTATCCTGAAAAATAAATGTACATTTTTACATTTTGATTCTAAATTTATTCCAAATCGATAATTTGAACAACCGACCAATTTTATCTAAAGATGGATATATTACTTGCCCCTCTGAACAATCAAATCTGAACAATTGGCCTATTGTTCTATTTCAATATAATCATCCTGTAGACAAACAGTTCATAATAAACATAACTTACAGCAACAGAATTTTTCATGTCAGCAATAGTACTAGAGAATTCATTAAAATGTAGTTCTGGACAATATGGTACTGGATGTACTAAATCACCACTAAGTTGACCTGCTCTAACACAAGCTAATTCCATATCTTCATTATTAGTCAATATACCACCATGATATCTACCTATATAAATATGATATCAAAAACTCCAATAATTCACCAGACAGTTTGCAAAGTTATTATTGTAACTGTAAGCAGCAGTGAAAGCTGACTGGAATATTGTCATGTTATTTGCCCTAGTAATAGCGAGAAACTTATTGTTATTCCAAATATTGCTTGATATAGGCCACAACATTTAGTTATCATTCTTCATTAATCCCTATCAACCAAACAGTAAATTGTACTGAATAATTATCAAAAGCCAATATTACACAGATTGAAGAATTTCCAAACATTAATTACCTGTAGCAACTCCCTGTGCACCAGTTAGTGTGGCCATATCAACAATAACATCTGCTTTTAAATCTAGATTAGCATAGGCTACCTTTAATGATTAAAATCTATATTAAACAAATATCAGCAACTTGAGCAATAATAATTTTCTATGGTTAATTGTTTGATCTCAAGCAGAATGTAATGAAGTTAAAAGATTCAAGCATTATGACCTTTTATTTTTGGGCATCAAGAAATCTTCTAAGAAAAAGGTTTGGCTTAAATATGATTTTAATTTTTTCAACTTAAAATCATAACAGCAAGAATTATCATCATCTAAATCTAAAGAAGTCACATGAGCACATGTTGAATTTAGAAAAAAAAAAGCATTATATACAGGTTTCTTTACAAAGAAAAGCTTTTGTTATAGTTTGAACACAGGCCTAAAATATTTTTAATAACATGTTAATAACTTACTCCATCACCTAACACCAAACGTCCTTCAGCATCTGTGTTATTTATTTCAACAGTTCTAAAAAAATATTCACAGTATTTTGAACATAATTTTAACTTGATATGAAAAGATGTTTTGATAACCAGCTGATGAAGAACACCTTCGGCTGTAAAAAGTTTTTTTTTTATGATAATGATTCAGAAAAGTGCTGAAATTATGCTCTATCAGCTGATAAAGGAAAATCATCAAACTTTCAAAATGTCTGTAAAACAATTTTAAACTTTCATTACATGAGCATATTCTGGATATTTAAATGTTTTAAACGGACAGTTGCGCCATTTATTTTCACCAATCATTCTTTTAGTCAGAAACGGGGATTTTTTAGCTAACCCAATCAATTAAAGTGTTCACAGTTCCAGTACTTCTGAAGACTATTTACATATATTCAAGATTAAACATTCCATCACTTATTTCAGAAAGATTAACAGTTTGAAATTTTGACTATAAACATTATTATCCCTGTTTAAAATAAAATAAAAATGAAATCAATTATCATGAAGTATTTTAAGAAATACCTCCAGTCATATCCCTGATAGGTAACACTGACATTCCTTACAGATTTATTCTAAATTGTTCAAAGAGAGACATCATTAACATACTTCCCAGAATACATATACAGTACATCATCTGGTCTACAAGCTGTAGGTCCAACAGCATTTTCAGCAAGACAAAATAGAGCATGTAAATTTTGCTTGAAACCCAATTTAACAGCAGCCCAGAAGGCTCCTAGTATACCAGCTGCTCCACCACAATCTCTTTTCATACCACACATACCAGTCTAGATTTGAACAAAATAGATTTTAACTCATTTAAATAATGAAAGCTTGCAATTACCGGTAGATGGAAGATTGTTGGCTTTTGTGATGTAAGTTTTACATTTCAGCAGCATAGATTTCTTGTTGAAATGTGAAACAACATTAATTTTGTTGTTGTTTCAACATCTTCTCTCTGATCACAGTAAGCTCAGATTTTAACTTTTTTTCCAATTTCACAAAGCATGGGCCTAGTTCGGGATGCTAGAACTAGGTATTACCACAGGTCAGTAATTTATCTGTTGATACCAACCCACTGTACTGGTTGGGTGTGGATATTTCAATTCATATTTCATATGTCATACCTTAGATTTAATGCATAATCCTCCAGTATCAAAAACAATGCCTTTACCAACCCATGCAATAGTTTTAGTGGCCCCAGCAGGTTTATGACTTAATACAACTAGAGCTGGTGGATGTTCTGCCGCTTTACCAACACCATAAATACCTGTATATCATAGAAAATATCAACTATATATCACCAATGATGTCTACATAAATTACAGTTTTAGTTCATATGCTGATTTTCAATTTTGTGTTATCTTTTAGTTAATCAGTACACCATAAAAACTATTGTCATTTTATGTTACTAAAGTCAGAGGATTGACCCATGATACTCCAGAAATATGCTTATTCTCTTTTTATGCTAAAAGCTTTTTTACTCTTTAAAAGGTACAATAAATTTGTTTCAGATATAATTAATGAGAAGCAGTCCTTGAAAATGTTAATGAGTAGGAAATTCCTTAGATATTACCTCCAAATTGCTTCTGATCCAATTCTTTTCCTTGTATTATTTCAGGAATAATATTTAAATCTTTAGCAACTTTTCTTATTTCCTAAAATAAAGAAATTAAGAACTTATTCATAAGGTGACAAATCAATTGTTAAAGAAATAATTTAGAACAGTTTTTTAAGTTGCTTATCTGAAAGATGAAAAGTACAATTGTGTTAATCTACGGTTTTCATAATTTATGTAATAAACACTGTATTTCTTTAAGAAGCAAAAAACAATTTTAAGGTTTTCCACTCAAATCTCTGTTTAATAAAAACCCTTGTCTCCACTTTGCCACTTAGTGATTTTTCAATCACACACCAACTTGTACCAGTACTTGGACTCTGATGGTTAGTTTTGATCAAGTCCCCTTTATTATGTTTAGCTAATTTTATTTATTGAAGCTCATAAACAATGGTTCTATCCACATTATGTTATAAAAGCTAAACTTACAGTAATAAAATCATCAGTATTCATTTCAGCACATGGCATATCAACGATCTTAGCACTAAGTCGTACAGATTCACTTGCAGCTGATAAACATTTAATATCAGACTCTGCTAAAGTATCATTTAAAATACCATTTTCTCCGACCAATATAACTTCTACTGTTATTACTCTATCAGGTGAACTAGATTTAGACTTTGCAGAGTAGAGAGGCAAGGTTCGAGCTATGGCACAGGCTGAGGCCAATACATCCTTCCTTTCACAAACTAGCTACAAAACCATAAGATATCATACAATGACAATAGTGAGTTAAATGAAATGAATTGAGGCTTTTCATTAGATTAATGCATTGGGTAGGCTATTCTAATCATATAAAATAATGAAAGTCTACAAAAAAAGGTCTGTTTTCAAAATTTACTTTAAAAATCGTCCATATATCAATTCATGAACATTGATTGTAAGACAGCATATATATACTTTTAGTTTTAGTAGAAGTGCTACAACCACAGATGTTTGATTGAAAACTGGAATGGTTCAAATTGATGCCATCAGTGTCCACCATACACATAAACAATTTACAAAACCTCTTTACAATCCCTTTAATATATAATATACCAGGTTTTATCAATCATGATTGAGCACATATGCAATAGACTTTATAAAGATAAAAATAATACACACCACAATGAACTCTGATCCACCAACTAAACAACTTTTAACTATTTTACTCAATGAATGACATCGTGATGGTGTATTGTGTCTACTACACTTACTAGGTAGTGCTGCTACAGTAGCATTATTTAACCATAGTGAACAAGTGTTAGTCAGATCTGTGACAGCCATTTTAAAAGTCTGAAAAATAATTCTTATGATGAAATAAGTATGATATTAAATACAATTACTACATTTCCATTTCAGTATGTAAAGAATGATACACTTCATAGGTTTATATCTTCTACATTAAAATTTGTATCATGTACTAACAATTTCTCTCCATACACTTACAGCGAATAAGATTTTAACATCCTTGTATATTCAGCAAGAAGAAATAGGCCTGTAAAAAATTGAAGATTTACCTCTGCATCGACCCTAGGTTCCAGTTTCACCTTGACATTTTCAAAAGTGAGTTTGCCCAAATCCCTAGGTTGACCAACAATTAAAACTGGGTTATTTTGAGGATCTGACTTTGATAATGATCCAGAGAAGTTAAGAGTAGCCATGTTGTTTCTTTTCTATTCTGTTGAAAGAAAATATAAGATTTCCAGTAGTATGTTAATCTGTTCTAAAAGGTTGTAAGCTCTGTAACGTAATGCTTCTGATATTCTGCCAACTGGATGGAAGATTGACAGGTCTAGCTATTGGTAAGCTACAGACAGACAAAAACAATTTGATAAAAATTAGTGTCAATACAGCAATACCTCTCAGATAACCTCTCAGATAATCAGAGTTTGATATACAGTCAAGTAACCTAATTTCGTGGAAACCTATTATTCGTGGATTTCCGGAAAGGATTAATAATTTACATGAGCGACCTTGCGCGACCTCCGCATTAGTTTGTTTTGATAAACATGGGTTTTCTCTACAATATCAGTTAGTAGAATGAATCCAGTAGTTTCAAGCAAGGTAAAATGTATTAATGTATACTTTGACAAATACAAAATGGCGGATTTCAGTTATTACCAAACGTCACCATTTTTTATCGGTCGAATTTCCTTATAATCCCAAGCGGTAAGCGGAATTCCAAGTGTCGTCTGCTAGAATGTAGTCCAACGAATGAAGTCATGTGATCAACTAGCAGATTCCGTGTCAGCAGAAAATTTCTACGGAACACAAAGTGGACCGTATTCTTATGTTATTTCACTGACTTTTAGCAATAAATCACGCTACGTATCTTATTTTGTCAGTCACAATTTTTTTTTTAAAATCGTGGTTCTTTGAAGGAATTGTCACTAGTTATAATGAATTGCTATTAAAGATAAATACTAAGAGAAGTTAATTATTCCACCCGGTATCCATACAACGTGTTTTTCTAGACTTATTTATAGATCAAACATTGTACACGAAAATAGGTGACGCATTCTGCCGCCGTTACCGAGTTGGTTGCTAATGAAATATGGGTCAAAGTGAAGGATTCATTAACAAAATCGAAATAAACCAATTTCAATTATTTTGTAGAATATCTGAGGACACTTCTAAGACATAACATTTTTTTTTTGTTTTTTTAACTTTGACGAAATTCGGTGTTGAATCTTTATATCCACGAAAATAGGTTACACCACTGTATTCACATCTCTTTTCTTCCAATTTTAATTTTCTTAATTTACAATAAATTTACGAATTTTCATTTCAATGGCATACCTACAATATCGCATACCTACAATATCGCAAAACACCCTCACAGATTAACACTGTTCCTAATTTACCTCACATCAATTAATGAACCAAAAGGTCATACCTGCGAAACAATTAGGCCCAATCAATATTATTTCAAGCGTGAACTTGATCCACAACTCACCAAACAACTATCAGTAACACCGGAAGTGACTATGAATAATATTATTGTTTATGTATGTAAGCGGCCATGCGATCATATTTGTTAAGGATGTAAGCATTAATAAATATTGAAAAATAGCTTCTGAAAACACTTTATAGGCCTAGTCTATCTTGAATCGAAAATTTGTTAAATTTTTGTTATCTCCTTATTGTCCTCATAGAACCTTTTTTGTCATTGCATTATTGTGTAAATTTCGTTTAGAGGGTATGACGTAAAGGAGTCCGAAACATCTTCCTCCAGTCGGTTCCCCTGCCATAAATTGCTTCGCTCCGAAGTTTAAGCTATAAGCGAACACATCACTTACAGGGCCCAGGGGTCCAGTTTAACTGTTTTCCCGTCTCTGACTTGGCGACTGGAGTAACTGTTGGGCCTACTCTCCCCACTGTTGGATGTTGGAAAAGAGGCAATTGTTTCGGATTAGACGGTAGAGAGCAAAATGGCGACTAATGTTGACAGCGAAAAGAATCCTAAAAATTATTCTTGTCAACATCATGCTAGAAATCTATTGAAAGCTTTGAACGAGAGTCGAAAGCTACCTTCATTGTGTGACATTATCGTCCTAATCGACAAGACAGAAATTCCTGCTCAAAAAAGTGTATTATCGGCCGCAAGTCAATATTTCAGGTATTCAAATAATGGAAGTAGACTGTAGCGTAGGCTAATTGTCCTCCTGTCGTTTAATTCTAGTCTTACCACGTAGATTTATTTGTAGGCTAACTAGCTTGTCTGCACTGTGTAGTCAAGACTTATGGTCAAATTGTTAAATTACCATGTGTTTAAATAGATTACATACAGTGGTGTAACCAATGGCTATATAATGCATATAAGCATTCAACTCCGAATTTCGTTTAATTTAAACAGATTATTTTTTTACGTCTTAGATGTTTCCTCAGATATTCTATGAAATATTCAAAATTTTTTTGCTTCGATTTTCGTAATGAATCCCTTAATGAGGTCACGTGAGGTCGCACATGTACAGTGGTGTAACCTATTTTCGTGGATATAAGGATTCAACACCGAATTTCGTCAAAATGTCTTAGATGTTTCCTCAGATATTCTACAAAATAATTAAAATTGGTTTATTTCGATTTTCTTTATGAATCCTTCACTTTGACCTATATTTCATGAGCAACCAACTCGGCAACGGCGTCAGAATGCGTCACCTATTTTTGTGTACAATGTTAGTACTATAAATAAGTCTAGAAAAACGCGTTGTATGGATACCGGGTGGTATAATTAACTTCTCTTAGTATTTATCTTTAATATCAATTCATTATAACTAGTGACAATTCCTTCAAAGAACCACGATTTAAAAAAACAACAGTGACTGACAAAATAAGATACGTAGCGTGATTTATTGCTAAAAGTCACTGAAACAACATAAGAATATGGTCCACTTTGTGTTCCATAGAAATTTTCTGCTGACACGGAATCCGCTAGTTGATCACGTGACTTCATTCGTTGGACTACATTCTAGCAGACGACACTTGGAATTCCGATTACGGCTAGGGATTATAAGGAAATTCGGCTGATAAAAAATGGTGACGTTTGGTAATAACTGAAATCCGCCATTTTGTATTTGTCAAAGTATACATTAATACATTTTACCTTACTTGAAACTACTGGATTCATTCTACTAGCTGATATTGTACAGAAAACCCATTTTTATTAAAACAAACTAATGCGGAGGTCGCGCAAGGTCGCTCATGTAAATTATTAATCCTTTCCGGAAATCCACGAATAATATGTTACCACAAAATTTGGTTACTCGACTGTAAGTTATTAATCATTTCCTGAGATGCACGAAAAATAGGTTAGCACGAAATTAGGTTACTTGACTCTACGCACTTCATTCATAGAAAAACTTGCGTTGAAATGGTTACTATATAATTAAAGTAAAAAGTTTTTTGAAATTTTTCAATTAAATGCTTCACAAACGAAAATCAATCATGTAAGCTTTCTGATGCTATAGCACTACCTTTTGTGTTATACATTCATCCACATTTTGGAGTCAAAAATGTCTGTGTGGAATACTTTACAAAAATTGTGAATGTTTACTATTTTTTTTAGGAATTTCCCTTGGGTGAAATTATTTCCTATGAGTCTAATATTAGTTTTTGGACAATGCCATTTTGTAATAGGGGTTTGTTTTTAAATATGGCCATATACTGTACTGTTTTAATAACCATTTGCAATCCAACCATCCCTGTTGACAAAGTAGGATGGTCAAAATAAGGGGCATAACTCTTGTCGGATGTGACATTCATGTCATGGAATTACTCTTCTTAATTTTGTAAAGTGTAAAAACACAGACGTTTTTGTCTCCAAAAGTGAAACTAGTTTTATTGAAATGTTGATGTATGAATATTTTTAGCAACAAGCTTGAATTGACAGGCAAGCAACAAAGAGTTAATAAATACTAATTGATCTGGGTGATAACATTGGTGTTAATTCAATCAATTTACCAGCTTTTACACTATTATTTTTATACATTTTATTTAACACATCGCAAACATGGTTTAACTTAAACTAAGAAAACAAAGAGTTTTAGATGTTTCTTTACCAGAGAAAAGAACGTCCTCAAGATGCAGTTCAATGCTATTGAAAATTTTATTCTGAAATTTGGTGATATGATATAGTGTTTCAGACAACTAGAATTATTTTTTACCATAGAGGCCTTTAACATGTGTATAATTCATTATATTTTCAGAGCCTATTTTAGTTATGAAGTTAAGACAGAGAGTTTGAAAACTGAAAGAGTACGAGTTGACTTAACACCACTGGAGATTAGTATTGCAACATTTCAAGATATCTTGGATTATATTTATACTGCTGAAATAACATTAAGTACTGACAACATTCAAGATCTGTTTCAAGCATCAGATTTATTGTTGATGTCTGATTTAAAGAATTTATGTTGTGAATATTTAGAACATTGTATTTCACCTGTAAATTGTGTTGGTATTCGAGAGTTTACTGCTCGTTTTGCTTCTCCCTGGGTACATTTTAAAGCTACACAATATTTAGATAAAAACTTCAGGTGAGAAAATTTTTGGAATTGCAAATTGGAAATATATTTATTTAAAAGAAATGCTAAGTGGTCTAAACTGATCATTGGAATTTGAATTCAGCTCAAAATAAAAACTAAATTTCTTTATTTTATGGGCAACTGAATGAATATGTTTCTTTATACCTTAGTTTTAGTGTCATATTTGAGTTTGGAGATATATTTAAATATTGACCTCATGTATCTCTCAATGTTTTGCTTATATGAAATGTATATTCAGGAAATCTCATTATAGGCATATATTCATTCTCATAATTACAGGTATAAACTAATTTCAATTTGTTTTTTTGTATAGGGAAGTGAGTAATGGTGAAGAGTTTCTAGGGTTAGATGTTGATAGTGTAAGAGAAATCTTAATAAGGGATGAACTGAATGTAAGAGGTGAAAGTGAACTACCTATTGTACAGTGTATATTACAATGGTATCGGTATAATAGACAGGAAAGAGAAAATGATTTAACTGATTTATTAATTAATTGTGTGAGAGCCAGCAGATTAACTGAGGATTGTTTTACTACATTACGCTATGAGGACTGTGGTCAATTGAACATTACGGAGTTCTTAAGAAATTTACAGTCACATCCTAGATTAGATGAACCAAGGGGGACTACTGCTGTCATTGTGGTTTGTGGTGGTGAAGGCTATGTGTCAAGGTAAGTCTTATTTTTACCATCATACATGTATTGATTGATTATGTAAAGGTAATGCTATCAAACATGTCGTCAGGGCTATACAAAGTTTAAAGGTGTCTGTACACAATTTAATCTATCCATTGAAATGAAAACGTATGATGCGCTCCGTCCTATCCTACCCTCCAGTTCTGTCCAACTGTCACTGTAAATAACGGCGTTGCCAATGAGAATTGTAAAGTAAAACTAGCTCAAAGCTTGCCTAAAGCCAGCTTTATTGCCGAATGTGTTGTGTTTACACTGAGTTTAACTGGTTCCATAATGACTTTAACTTCAATCACAAAGTCGCTCATTTTTGACAACTCACGATGTACATGGCTTCTGTTTAGACCAGTAAGAAATGCAGTAGACCGGAAAGACCAGTATGCCCCCTTTTGCCGAATGAGATAAAGGTGGCTTGTTGCGTTTCCACTGGTTAAGCCAGTAAATTGCCAAACGTTTTTTCCCACAGTGGAAACACAGTTATTATTGCGGACTTACGGAGCTCATCTGGAAGAAAACAATCAAGAAGGTGGCGTAACGTAGACACCATGATATTAAGTTGTAAAATCGAGGGGTCTGCAATATTATCTTACATCAGCCAACATGTAAACTTGATACTATATTTTTTCAATGTAGTCCCTCTTTTACCTTTTAATATTTTTTTTTGAATCACAATAGTTTTTGTATGATATTTAATTTTGTTATAATGTGGTCGTATATTTTCGCCGCCCCTGTCCGTCCATCGGTCTGTCCGTTTTGGCTTGTGAACACAATAGAGACTACAGTTTTCATCTGATTTAAATGATATTTGGTGAGATTATATTCATGAGGACTTGGACAACTTCGAATTTGGCGATTTTTTTCGACAAACGTTTTTTTGAGTTATTGCCCTTTGAATTGGGAAACGTGTAAAAAATTTGTTTTTACCTACTGTACATAAGTTTCATAGCTACTTACAGAATATAGCATTTATTGAGGTAAAAGCTTATGAAACAGATGATACTATCATGAAAAATGGAATTATAATATCAATTACTAGACGACTTTTTCACTTTATGTATAATGTAAAATCCTAACCTAGAGTTATCTCCCTTTTCAAAATCTGTAATAAACCATGTTTTCAGTGTGAATGTGTGAGTGAATGTATATTGTTTATTTCATGTTCATTCAATTATATTATATTATGGTATGTTATAATTTATTATGTAAATAAAGTATTTTTTCAAAAAATAAAAAAATAAAAAATTTGTTTGTGAACACAACAGAGACTATAGTTTTCATCTGATTAAAATGAAATTTGGAGTGATTATTTATGATGATGAGTTCTTAAACAAGTTCGAATTTAACGATATTTCGATAAACGCCTTTTGAGTTATTGCCCTTGACTTAAGAAAAACGCGTCAAAATTTGTTTGTGAACACAATAGAAACTACACTTTTCATCTGATTTAAATGAAACTTGGTGTGATCATTTATAAGATAGATATTAGAGATGCAATTTGACACAGATTGGCAATCGCCTTTGATATAGACTGAAAATTTATCAGGGAAGTGGGCGTATCTTGCAAGGTAACCACTTGTTATATTTATATTATATTGATATTGAGTATAAATTGACAAGTAGGCACTCGTATGAATTTCGATTCTTTTTCTTTTGGGAAGCCTTCAGACAAATCCAAAGTATAATTTCATTTATTTCGTCTAGTTTTGGCTTCATCAAATTGAAATACGATCAATTCAGTATTTGAATATTTCAAATAATCAATTTTGATCAGATATATGGAGAAGTCAGATGAAAGTTTTGTTTTTTAATTATACCATCTACCATCAAAGGACTCCAGTTCACGCTTGGAACAGGGTGTGATACTTTCAAACTTATTTCTTCTTTTTCTAGACAGAATCTAAGCCCTTGGTGCTGGGGCTCAGATTTTGTGCTCAGAAAATTTGAAGAATTAAAGGCCCAGAAAACTCAATCATTTCTGAGCATTTTGTATATCAAAATCTGTTTTTTTTTTTTTATTTTGTATAAAGACACTGTAAATTAATCAATCTGCTTTACTGAAGAAGGTTTTGCTGGGGCTTAATTCTCACTTGCAGGGGCCCAGACCTCACAGAACCTACCCTCACAACGGGGCTGTTATTTGTCATCTAAGTTGCTTCAGTAGAATTGCCTCAAGTTCTTACTGCCCACGATAATGTCCAGAACTATTTTTCTCACTCATTTATATTGTCGAAAAAACGAATTTGACTGTGTCATGACGACTTTTAATATCCATGTGGTGGGAAAATGAAACTGAAAGTTTGAACAAAGAATATCAGCTTTGAGTCTCCTTGCTTGATCCAAAATATTTTGCCAAGGGGCCATTCAATGGTTAATGATTTTGTTTATTTGAAAAGGAATGAAGATACTGAAGTAGAAGTTAAACCATGTTTGCGATGTGTTAAATTGTATAAAAATAATAGTGTAAAAGTTGGTAAATGGATTGAACTAACACCAATGTTAACACCCAGGTCAAGTCATGGACTAGTTGAAGTGGGTATGTATACATCAGAAATAATTTTAGATCTTTCACATATTTATACTTACCGGTGCATCCTAATTGAAAAATGTATCCTATTGTGATGAAACATTGTATGCATTTGTGTATTGATGTAATATAATGATATTGTAAAGAACCATTTCATGGATGACTGGTGAAAGTGCTTATACCATGTTTGGTCATTTCCACTTTTTGGTAACATTCAAAAGCTGAATAAAAGTGTGGATTTTGTGATCAGAACCTCGTATTCCTAGCTTGATTGTAAATAACCCAAAGCCACCAATTAAATAACAAAATTGAGCTAACTACATACATCAAGGCTCCTGAATATTGCTTTGTTTGTTTAACATCTTATATGACAAGCTATCTTTTCACTGTAACTGCCTTTCTTCAGAGACAAAACAGTCTGCCATATTGACATGATATTGAATTATAAATTAATAAGAGATACAGTGAAATAAAAGTTTTATTTTTCCTTTGTAGGTGGACTTATATATGCTATTGGTGGGAGAGATAACACTTGTCGTTTGTTAAATAGTGGTGAGAAATATAACCCAAAAACTAATGAGTGGACAGTGATAGCTCCTATGAATCATGCTCGTGTTGGATTTGGCTTAGTTGCTATAGATCATAATATTTATGCTATTGGGGGTAGTAATGATATGACTGATCCTATGACTTCTATGGAGGTCTATAATACATTCTCTAATGAGTGGCAATCACTACCAGATATTACAATGAAAAAAGTCTGGTCTACTTATGCAGCTGTTGATAAAAAGATTTATGTGATAGCTGGGGGCATTATTGGTAAGTTTTATGAAGCTGTGGAATGTTTTGATTCAAGGACACAAACATGGACTTCAGTATCACCTATGAGAGAAAGAAGATGTGATGCTCGTGCAGTTGCTGTTGATGATGATATCTATGTGTTTGGTGGGTTTCGAAGGATTGAATGTCCAAGTGCTATGCATTCTGGTCACAGTTTGAAATTCTGTGGTGCTGAAGTTTATTCTACTACTAATGACTATTGGGTACCCATATCTAAACGTGGTCTAGAACCAGGTATGTGTATCATGCATGATAAATCTCATGTAGAGGGAACAGTATATGATGGAAATGAGATATTAGCTATTGGGGATTTAGATATTGGAACTGGGTCTGATTGTATTCGTGGATTTGATCGTTATGTTAATGAATGGAGAACTGTGGTACAAAATCAACCACCTAATCAAAGATGTTATCAATGCTGCTTATTAAATATACCAAATTCTACTTTTGCTAAAGTATTAAAACAGCAAGCATCCACACCTACCTAATTTCTTCCTAACATCAATTTAGATGTTTGATTACCACCAAATATTATTACCACCATTAACTCTATTTTTTGTTGAACCTCATTCCTGATAATTTATCCAATCCACTAAATTGCAATTATTTACCCTATATAAAATACCAAAATTAAAAGAATATTTTGAATGATTTACTATACTTCAAAAATGTTGTTTCTATCTCGTAAAAGGACTTGTGACAGGTTTGGACGAAATTATTCAGTACCACTTGAGGAAGAACATCAGTTAAGGAAGAGCCCTATCGAAAACCTATAAATTTTAAAAGTTTAATATTTCATACTGGTAATGGTCCCAGTTCTCATTTATACAAAGCTGCCAGTGGATGACATTTTGAATGTTAATGCCCCTGTTTTTTGAAACATGAAAATTTATTAAGTTTATATTTTGATTATGTTTGATACTCTGTTCTTTCACTGCTATGAAGTGTCAGGTCAGTGACACTTTTCTTGGAGAAGTTGGAATTAGACTTTGTAGTCTGATGTAAAAACTGAATAAAGGATAGATTAAATGTCAGTTGTGAGGAAATGTGTATTAAACTGCTTCTATCAGTTTTTCTTTTAAGAGTAAGTATACTTATAAGAATCCAGTATTTTCATTATTTGACTGTTTAATGAATGTTTCATTGTCTGGTAATATGGTGGCATTTGAATATCAATTTGAAAGTTATTATAATAAAAAAAGAAATTATTACCTAAAATAATACTTGCCTAATTAATTGTTCATGTTCATGTGTGTAATGAAACTTGTCTGATTATCTTAAGTTCAGGTTGTCGTTTGGTTTATTACTTATATTATATTGAAGAAAAAAGAAGTTTCATTGAAATTGAAAATTGAAATGGTTTCAAACCACACTGATTGTACAATGGTAATGTTATCAGACGTTATCAAACTGTGTTGTTCATGCTGAAACTGATAAAATAAAAATATTATTGCTTCCCCCATTTCAATCTTATCGAACTTATCTAATCCGATATGATACAGAATATATTTTATCTATATTTATTTTCTATATTTGGCCTAACACTTAAATCTACAAGCTTGTGTAAATGTAAAATCAAAACATATTGTTTATAACTAGATATTTTCATTTTATATGAAATGAAAATGTGAGTAACATTCTATGTATTGGTGTTGACACTGTCTATCCGTAAGCATTATTTTGAGACAAAAGTTTTTAAATACTCACTTCTCTCTATATTGATATGTGTTGTCGACACCCAAACCCTCGTAAAGACTATGGAAAGTGCAATTCTTGACGGATTTTGATGAAACTTGGTGTGAATGTTTGTTATCACCCAAGGATGATCCCTATCGAAAACCAGAAAAATAATAAGTATGAGTTATTGCCCATGTTCTTGAAAATGCGTTTAATTTTAGCTTGTAAACACTCTAGAAGGTTCAATTCTTGACAGATTTTTACGAAACTTGGTGTGAATGTTTGTTATCACCCAAGGATGATCCCTATCGAAAATCAGAAAAATCGAGAAACATTTAGTATGAGTTGTTGCCATTGTTCTTGAAAACGCGTTCAATTTTAGCTTGTAAACACTCTAGAAGGTACAATTCTCATGTTTTGACGAAACTTGGTGTGAGTGTTTGTAATCACCCAAGGATGAACCCTATTGAAAATCAGAAAAATCGGAAAATAATTAGTTATTGCTTTTGTTCTTTAAAATGCGTTAAATTTTGTGCACGTAAACACTCTAGAAATTTAGCCTGTAATTACTGTAGAAGGACCAATTCTTGACAGATTCTGATAAAACTTGGTAATATTCAGAATTGCATCAAAATGTTTAAAAGAAATGTACAACTGAAGGTTGAATATTTCATACTGTTACTGTACTGCCAAATATTTTTAGTTAAAATTAAGGCTGCCAATGGGCGTATATTACCTTGGCTGGCGAGCTATTTTTATACGCCCACATGAAATGGGTGGCGTATATTGCCGTCACTCATGTCCGTCCGTCCGTCCGTCGGTCCGCCCGCCCGTCCGTCCACAATTGCTCGTAAACACACATTCTTGACGGATTTGGACAAAACTTGGTGTGGGTGTTCGTAATCACCCAAGGATGAACCCTATTGAAAATCAGAAGAATCGAAAAATATTTAGTATAAGTTTTTAGGAGTTATTGACCTCGTTCTTGAAAACGCTTTTTAACACTAAAAGGCATGATTCTTGCCGGATTTTGACAAAACTTGTTTTTATTATTCAGTACCGAGCTGAAGATTGAATATTTGCCTTCTAATGTTTTCACGAGCTAAAAATTGAACATGTTTTCAAGAACATGTGCAGTAACTCATACTCAATATTATTCAGTATTGCGCTATTAAAAAGTTCAAAAGAAGTGTATGACTGAAGGTTGAATATTTCATACTGGTGATTGTTACTGTACTGCTGAATATTTTTATTCAAAATCAAAGCTGCCAGTGGGCGTATATTACCTTGCCGGGCAAGGTAAAGAAAATCAGGTTTCAATTCGAGAACTTTCCAAATATTTACTCCTGTGATCTCGCCTTTTGGAAATAGATTTAGTTCGCTCAGTCTTAAACCGATCTTACAAAACATGCTTTCATAGTCAAAAATAGAATGCAAATTATTTATTTGGTAATTTCAGAAAATAAACGTAAGCGCAGAAGTATCAATAACATTCCCATGTGCATTTGTTGCTGAGAGTTATAACTTGTGGCTGAATAGACAGTGAAAGTGTATCTAACTAGAATCTTTTTAGATATATCGAGGTTCAGCATTTCTTTCAAACGTGTACAATTATTTAATTAAGTATAGGTTAATGGCCGTTAGCATTGCAATAAATTGAATAATGATCGTAACACACCGAAGGTCCGCGTGTTACGTCATTATGGAACGCATTGTCAATCATGAGTGAAATTAAAAAATAAGTCAACTCCGTATGAATATCAATCATCTTATGACGTCACAGCAGTCCAAAATTTACCTCCATATTTAAAGATAGCTTGCGAGGCAAGGTAACATACGCCCACTGGCAGCTGTCAGAAATGATAAAACAGTCTTTAGTGACTAAAGTACGAATTTTCTCATATTGAAGAAATTTTATTAGTTTGAAGTCAGTTATATATATATATATGCCAGTTATTGATGCTGAGTAATTCAAGGGCAATAACTCAAAAAATGTTCATAAAAAATATCTCTTGTTAGAACTTGTCCGAGATCGTATCAATTCCAATGATCACACCAAGTTTCATCAAAATCGGTTGAAAACTGTAGCGTCTATTGTGCTCACAAACAGACACGTTTTTCATAAGTCAAGGGCAATAACTCAAAAACCGTTCATCGAAAATGCGTCAGTTAGAACTTGTCTGAGGTCTTATCAATTCCATTGATCACACCAATTTTCATCAAAATCGGTTGAAAACTGTAGCTTCTATTGTGCTCACAAACAAATTTTGAAGCGTTTTACAAAGTCAAGGGCAATAACTAATCAATAACTAATCAATTCCAATGATCATAACAAGTTTGATCAAATTTGGTTGAAAACTGTAGCTTCAATCCTGCTCACAAACTATTTTTAACAAATTTTGACGCGTTTGAACAAAGTCATGGGCAATAACTCAAAAACCATTCATCTAAAATGCGTCAAATTAGATTTTGTCCGAGATCTTATCAATTCCAATGATTATGCCAAGTTTCATCAGAATCGGATGAAAACTGTAGCTTCAATCCTGCTCACGAACAATTTTTAACAAATTTCAAGGGCAATATCTCAAAAACCATTCATCGACTATATGTGAAATTCGAATTTGACTGAGATCTTATCGATCTAAAGCATCACACCAAGTTTTATCAAAATCAGATAAAAACTGTAGTCTCTATAGTGCTCACAAGAAATGTTGACCGACGGACAGGGGAAACGACAATATACAACCACATATTCATGTGAGCGTATAAAAATGGGCACGTACTATTAAGTTTGATATTGGTCTTTAAAGTTCAAAGGATGACGTCACATCTGTATTCGGTACATTTTATATCACATTCTTTTACAATACTTATTCTGTACAGTTTATATAACAAACAATCTACTGTTTGCATTCATATAATTATCCCATTCTTTTATAATACTTTGTCTGTACATTTTATATAACAAACAATCTACAGTTTCCATTCATATAATTATCCCATTCTTTTATAATACTTTGTCTGTACATTTTATATAACAAACAATCTACTGTTTCCATTCATATAATTATCCCATTCTTTTACAATTCTTATTCTGTACATTTTATATTACAAACAATCTACAGTTTCCATTCATAAAATGATCCCATTCTTTTACAAGACTTATTCTGTACATTTTATACTACAAACAATCTACAGTTTCCATTCATAAAATTATCCCATTCTTTTACAATACTTATACTGTACATTTTATATTACAAACAATCTACTCTTTCCATTCATACAATTATCCCATTCTTTTATAATACTTATTCTGTACATTTTATATAACAAACAATCTACTGTTTCCATTCATATAATTATCCCATTCTTTTACAATACTTATTCTGTACATTTTATATTACAAACAATCTACTCTTTCCATTCATACAATTATCCTATAATACTTATTTGGTACAGCTTATATTACAAACAATCTACAGTTTCCAGTCATATAATTATCCCATTCTTTTACAATACTTATTCTGTACATTTTATATTACAAACAATCTACTGTTTCCATTCATATAATTATCCCATTCTTTTATAATACTTATTCTGTACATTTTATATTACAAACAATTTACAGTTTCTATTCATATAATTATCCCATTCTTTTATAATACTTATTCTGTACATTTTATATAACAAACAATCTACTGTTTCCATTCATAAAATTATCCCATTCTTTTATAATACTTATTCTGTACATTTTATATAACAAACAATATACAGTTTCCATTCATACAATTTTCCCATTCTTTTACAATAC